GTTACAAGCGAGTGGTCCGTTGCGGCGATGTGGTTGTCACTTCCTCCCGGCTCGTCAACTTCGCCAGAGGCCAGGTGATCCACCAAACCATAACATCCAAGTACCACATCGAAAATACATGAGAAGTGACCTTTGCATATAAGTGTCTAACTTGGTGGATCCTTATACGCAAAGATCTCTTCCCTTGTATTATTACCCCTGTGATATACTTGAAGTTTCCCATAACAAAACCCAAATTCAATACTTGATTTGGTTTGCCATTTTGGAATGAATGTCCATTGTTTTGGTAGGTGGATTACATACTCGGAAGCAACCCATTAAAGATGTCGTACATGGTGGGATATGGGACGAAGTTCCCACAGAAGATTCACCACCGGGCATCGTCGTTGCCGTCGATGGCGAGCCATCCGGACAGAATAGACTGCCAAGGTGGAACTCAATACTTCATGAGCCAGAACCCGAACCCTAATCAGCTCACCGGCGCGGTCGTCGGAGGCCCTGATATCAACGACGCTTACGACGATTCCAGGGCGGATTTTGCACACTCCGAGCCAACCACTTACATCAATGCCCCTCTGGTTGGGGTCTTGGCTTATTTGTCTTCGCGTAATTACTCTTCTAGTCCATAATCGGCTCTGTTTTTATTTTTAATGGATTTTACCGTCTCCCTTTTCTCTTTCTCTTTGGCTGTCGTTCTTCCTTGTGAAAGAGGATTAGTGGATGATATTTGTATAGAAAATATTGAAATTTATTTGTATACTCTAATGTAATTGATCGAGACTTGAAGAAGAAACGAAGAAATGAGTTGAGTATTTATGCATCCGACTCAACCCACTAAGGTTTATAAGCCCAAAATCAAAGGTAAGCTCAAATCTAGTCTGTCTGTCCACGTGACATGAGCAAACACTATTTTCGATACTTTGTGAACGTATAATCAACTTGTGGGCGCATACAATTAACTCAATGAAAGCAATATGTATAAAATCATTATGGAGAATCAAAGAGATTATATTTTAAGCTAAATTGCAAGTTTGGTCACTGGAATTACTTAAAAAATTCACATTTGCCACTAAAATCAATTTATTACATCCGTAGTCACTTAAATTAGGTTAACAGTTCAAGTTTGGTCACTGGCCGTTAGTCTCCGTTAACTTTTGCTGATGTGGCGGTCAACTCTTATAGTTGACCGTTAAATGAGTGACGTGTCAATTAAAAAATTAATAAAATAAAATAAAATAATTGAATTATTTTTTATTTTCCACCTAATTATTATAAAAATAAAAAAAATCCTAATTCCTTTAATTATTTCACCGCTTGTCGCCGTTCCTCTCCCCTCCGGTCGACGACCTCTCCCGGCCGGCCAAGTCCTGTGCCATCACCGTATTGGTCCTTTGAGCATTCGAGAGAGAGCTAATTAAAAGTGGAGCAATTGGTTCTTTCCCCAGTGGAGCTTTCGAGCTTGCAGCGCGGGTGAAAGAATTCGGAAAGGAAGATCCCAGGAGGGTGATTCACTCTCTCAAAGTTGGGCTGGCTCTAACAATGGTGTCGCTCTTTTACTACTTCAAACCAATCTACGACGGGTTCGGCGTGAATGCGATCTGGGTCGTTTTCACCGTTGTCGTGGTCTTTGAATTCTTCGTTGGTATGTCAGTGGCAGTGCCCTCTTCCAATAATTTCCACCGTTTCTTTCGAGAAATTGACCGATAAAAAAGTGCTCTGTTTTTCTTTGGTTGCTCTGTTTATTTTACTCTGTTTTTTTGTACATGGAAAACAGGGGCGACGCTTTGGAAAAGATTGAAAAGGATTGTACATGGAAAACATGATGTTTATAAGCACATTGATTTACTTCAAACACTCACTATTCAAATCGCCTACAGCTAGCTTTGCGAGACTCACTCAACACATCCTAAAATGTAAAATTGGATCACAAGAATCACCGTCTCCGATCCGTACCCATGCCAGCCAGCGTCTCTTCGGCCTTCCTGCCCTCACCATCGCCGTCGTCGTGGTCATAACAGCCACCGCCTCTGGGTCTACCTCTGGTGTAATTACAACTCCACCACCAAGCGGGAAATTGTCGCGCCGACCCAAATGACGTCGCCGGATTACTATTTATGAACGGCATCCCACCTCCTTTGTCCGGCAACATCTTCGGGACCCTCATCGGCGCGCTAGCACCTCCATAAACGCTGCCAGCGGAGGCACTTGGCTCCGGCGTCGGCGCCCAAGCAGCAGCACTCTTCTCCCGCGACTGAAAAGGACACGGGTACGCGGGTGAAGACGACACCACTCCCCCTGGAATCGGTGATGTCGGAGCCGCCGTGGGAGGAAGTTCAGGCGCCGGAGACTATGACGAGACCTTGATGGCGAGCTTCTGGGAGTATTGCTCGTCGGTGGAGTAGCAATACATGTCGGTGGACAAGACAGTGATGGCGCGGGGTTTGGCCGGCCGAGAGAGGTCGTCGACCAGAGGGGAGAGGAACGGTGAGCGGAAAATAATAATTAAAGAGGAATTATGATTTTTTTTATTTTTATAATAATTAGGTGGAAAATAAAAATAATTAAATTATTTTATTAATTTTTTAATTTCCACGTCACTCATTTAACGGTCAACTATAAGAGTTGACCGCCACATAAGTAAAAGTTAACGGAGACTAACGGTCAGTGATCAAACTTTAATTATTAACCTAATTTAAGTGACTACGGATGGAATAAATTAATTTTAGTGGCAAACGTAAATTTTTTAAGTAATTCCAGTGACCAAACTTGCAATTTAGCCTTATATTTTAGCACAAATGGCCAGTAAAGATCCTTAATTGATCAAGTGTACCATCGATAAGAGATTATGAATAACCCGCTGACACTTTCGACTCTGTCATTTATACAATTATGTCAGCATTCTTACGAGATCGAGTTGAGAATGTCCACACGTGATTAAACTGTGGGTGTTGCAATCCATAGATGTCAAATCCGTACTTGATGTTTTCGTAAATAATTATCTTTGAGTGCATTCAATGGATGTGGACCATTGAATATTAATTCAACGATATGACATTTTTGTTTATACCAACCCCCTTAATGTTCGTAACAAATTTATTTGTATACCACTAATAGAATTGATCGATTAGTTATTCTGACGGAGAAAAAAAGAATCGAGTCAAGTAGTTATTCATCCGAATCAACCCACTAAGATTTCTAAACCCAAAAGGTAAGCTCACTCTAATCAGGTCCGTCGGTCCACATGTTATGAGCCAACATTTCAATACTTCACGAACATACAATCAACTTGCACGCATACATTTAACTCAATGAAAGTAATATGCATCCAATCATTATGGAGAATCAAAGAGATTATAACTTACCACATATGGCCTAGTAAACATCTATAATTGATAAAGTATATCATTAATAAGAGATTATGAATAACTCGCCAGCACTTTCAGTCATTCATTTATCCAATTCTATCAGCATTCTTATGAGACCTAGTCGAGAATATCCTATTCCTAACATGATTAGATTGTGGGTGTTGCAATACATAGCCGTTAAATGCGCACCTAACAATTTCGTAAATAATTATCTTCGACTGCATTCAACAGACATATTATTCAACGATATGACAACTTTTTTCCCAATACCCACTCCCATAAATTTTGTAACAAAATTCTCACCCATAAGACTATGATGGTCAGTTAGCCATTGAAAATATCAAAAAAAGCAAAGACCACCCACGGTCCACGGATCACCATTTTCCTATTATGGTGGGGAATTAGGTTGATCCTAAAAGCCCCTAAATTGCTTCTTTGGAAAGAATACGCCCTAAAGTGGAAAGCCATTAAAAGTTGACAGGTAAATGCATGGAGAAGAATAGACATCAAAGGTTCTCTCTTTATTCTTTGTTACCCTCCAAAACCTGCCCTCTTGATCATCACAAAACACAACACAATTGATTATATCAAAACATGGCGTCCTAAAGGAAACTATTCACAAATGTGGTACGTTACTGTTGCATTAGGGAACCTCCATTACCAAATTGCCCAAGGTCCCAGACCTTGCAAGTGGCAAGCAACTTCCCATTTTTAGGTCAAGAGATTGTATACTACACGAAGGAACTTGGCTAGCTAGATAGGTGTTCTTGATATAGAGGATCGATTAAGCTTGAGCCTAGTTAGATGCCTAATCCCTACGAGAATTTTAATCATACATTAATTGGTCACTTAAACTGTATATGACTACTATTGTGTTTAACCCATACAACAAACAAGGGTATCCCCTTCCATCACATCTACTAGGGTTTCTTCAATATGGTCAATATGTCAAATGAGGTCGTCAGGTGTTTAGTACATGCAGACACCGCCGGATTCCGCGACCTTGCAAATTTGAATCGTCAATCAGCCGTGGTACTCTGGGATGCAGAATCTAATGATATCAGTTCACAACGATGATAACACCCTCTGCACTAGTGCATAATTACTGTGATCAACCCCTATACAACAGTCTGGAGGACCTGCCATGCATTGATCAGGTAGGGTTTCGCGTGTCCAGCTAATACGTCAGATGAGATCAGGAGACGATGTGAGCATCCGCCATTTGATCTCACAACCTTGACCTCGTAGTATTTTATTTTTCATAAATAAGACTTTCGTACACATGCAACCATTATGGTACGCGTACTAAAAACGCACATCACAACCCCGCGATATGTGAAATCTCCTAAATGCACGATTAACAGAAAGAAATCTCCAAAAGGAGGTGAGAAAATGAAATGGGATTCCCCCGTACTACATAAATTGCCATATGTCTTAAATTCTACCATTAAACATGGGAATTCAACCCCAATTAATCCCTTATAATTCCCGTTCCCCATTTTCTAAAAAAAAAAAAAATCTCCTTCCCCACTATATATACAATCCCTCGATCATAAACTCTGAACTATCTCTCCCATAATCAACAATTAGTAGTAACCGCAAAGTCTAAAGAGTTGGAGGGGAAAGTAAACAAAAATGATCAGTCACAAGTCCACCGTTCGTTTCCTAATTTTCCTCCTCGTTTCCGCCCTCGCTGCCGGCATACCACCCGCCTCCGCCACCCGCCGCCGCCGCGCCTCTTCTTCACATGACTATGGCGACGCATTGACCAAATGCATTATGTTCTTCGAAGGCCAGCGCTCCGGCAGGCTGCCGCCCAACCAGAGGCTCACTTGGCGGCGCGACTCTGCTCTCAGAGACGGCTCCGACATCGGCGTAACTCTTTAATTTGATTATTAGCTCCAAAATTAGCCAATATCGTAGAGAGAGAAAAAAAAGCACTGAAATTTCTTTCCTGATTTCTCAGATGGATTTGGTGGGAGGATACTACGACGCAGGGGACAACGTGAAGTTCCACCTGCCAATGGCGTGGACGACGACGATGATCGGATGGAGCGTGCTGGAATTCGGCAACAGGATGGGCCGGTCGGACCTGAGACACTCCCTCGACGCCCTCCGGTGGGGCACCGACTACTTCCTGAAGGCCACCAGAGTCCCCGGCCGGGTCGTCGCTCAGGTCGCCGACCCAGTCCTGGACCACGATTGCTGGGAGAGGCCCGAGGATATGGACACCCCGAGGAACAGCTACGTGCTCAATGCGTCGCACCCTGGCTCGGAGGTGGCAGGGGAAATCGCGGCGGCGCTGACGGTGGGTGCACTGGCATTCAGGAGGATCAGACCTAGCTACACCAAATTGCTGCTCAATAGGGCGATTCAGGCTAGTTGGGGAATTCGGATTTGTACGTTTTTTTCGCGACAACTGGGATGAGATCGATGACGAGTTTATTTTTTCTTTTGGGTTGTGTGGTTCAGGTGTTCGAATTCGGCGACAAGCATCGTGGGTCGTATGCTCAGAGCGTTGGAGCTGGCGCTTGCCCCTTCTATTGCAGCCCAAATGGGTACATGGTATGAATTCTGAGTTTTAGATCATTCATTTCTTTAGAAAATCAGGAATCCTGACAGTGTCAGGAAATGAGATTCCGGGGTCTGAAAAACAGGGCTTCCAATTTATTTTCCTGTCACAGGATGAATTGGCGTGGGCAGCGGCATGGTTGTTTATGGCAACAGGGGATAGGAAATATGCCTACTATGTTAAATCGAATTTGGGGACTGGCATGACCGCGTTCAATTGGGATTCAAAATTTGCTGGAGTTTATGTTCTTTTAGCCTCGGTAACCTTTTCTTCTTCTTCTTCTTCTTCTTCTTCTTCTTCTTCTTCTTCTTCTGCTGCTGCCCTGAACTCCAAATTCTAGTCAGTTACGCTCTCCTGATCAACCAATTCGGTGTGATTTTTTCAACATATGCAGCTGGACTATGCTTATGCAGCTAACGCCGACAACCTCGTCTGCGCAATCATGCCCGAATCGCCATCCAAAACCTACACCTACACTCCGGGCGGGCTCCTGTACTCAAAGGGAGCGTCCAGCAACATGCAGAACCCGACAGCACTCTGCTTCCTCCTGGCGGCGTACACTCGCGTCCTGCGAGCGAGAAACAGAGTCGTCCGATGTGGGAACGTGAACATCGACCCGTCCAGGCTGGACCGATTCGTGAAATCGCAGACGGATTACATCCTGGGGAGCAACCCACTGGGGATGTCGTACATGGTAGGGTACGGGCCGAGGTACCCGCGGAGGATTCACCACAGAGGGTCCGTCCTGCCCAACATTAGGCAGCATCCGAAGAAGATCGGGTGCTCGGAAGGGTACTGGTACTTCAAGAACCTGAGATCGAACCCGAATGTGCTGACCGGAGCGGTGGTCGGAGGACCTGATATGAATGATGGGTTTCAGGATAGTCAGCTCGTTGTTTCTCAGTCTGAACCGACTACTTACATCAATGCCCCGTTCGTTGGAGTCTTGGCGTTTGTGAAGGGAGGGTTTAAGGTGTGAATTATTTTGAGCTTTGTGTGGTCGGTCGCTTTGATTGTTTAGCCACGGTAAATTGTTTAGGCGCATGGTAAAGGGGTTGGCTTGGAGCCTAGAGGAAGGTGTAGTTACTGAAATCGGCCACCAAACCTCTAAATGTGGGTGTTTTGAATGTAAATTTGTCGGTTTGGTTTGTTTGCTGGAATGTTTGGAGGTTAGTTCCAAACTTCCAATTGTTCCACTTATGTTAGTGCCACGATTTGGAAAAATTTTATTGGGAAATCTTTGTTATGTTTCATAAAGAGAAATCAAGATTTTTTAATCATTCATTAAAAAGCGTTGGAAGATTAGTACCGTCAATATATCTCGATTGTTCTTTATTTTTGTGCACTCCTTCGTTGAAATTGATTAAATTGTATTACTTATGCCGATCGGAGAGATAATTGGTAGTTTTTGTATACTATAAGAAGTACATTTGGTACATTGTATCAATCAACTTATCGGGTTAATGATAAACATAATCGTATCCCTTGAGAACTTTGGTGTAACGGTGTTGACTTAAAATTTAATATTTATCCATATCAAGAATGGTTTCGTTTCAACTACTTACTTACTATACTAAACAGACAATCACAATTGACTACTAACACAACTTAAAAATAAGGGGTGGTTTGGAGAATTGGAGTGTAAATCACTAGATTTTGAACAATTCAAAGATTCTAACCCCTTGGATTATTGAAAAATGATCTTAAGATCTTCATTCTTTGGTAACTACAATTGTAGCATTCAATCAGACTAGAAATAGTAATTTTTTTAGCAAATGACATGTTTATTCTTAACTAAAAGAATAAGAGTGGCTCGAGAAATATTGAGATTTTATTAATAAATAAGGGGATAGAAAATCTCACAAATCAAAATATATAGTTCTCTAATCATCTCTAGATTTTGGAAATTTGAAATATCTAATGGCTCATTTGGAGAAAAGAATTTAAATCATAGATTCATTGAATCCATAGATTTAGAAGAAAACTACGTTTTTTGCTATTTTTGTATCGTAGCTTAGTTTCAGAGATTTTAAATCTATCATAATCATATAAATTATACATCTTGATTTATGAGTCTTTTTCTCTTTTTTTTTTACTTTTTTATTTATTTATTCCGCTAAGTTCCCTTATCAATACAATTTCAACATTTTTTTTAGTCACTAATTCTCTTAGTTAAGAATAAACCAAACTAAAATATTCGGACTATTAATCCTCAACTCATTCAACCGGACCCCGGGCCAACGAATTAAACCGATTGACAACCTTGCTGTCACCCAATTAGCCCGGTGTGGTTTCTTCTTTCTTCCCATATCAATCCCGTCTTTTTCATCTCATATTCCCAAATTACCCCTCCGGGAATCACGAGACCGGCGGCATCTGGGAGCGCAGAGGTGAGAGAACGACGACGACAACGAAGAAGAAAAGATGCAACAGAGGAAATATGGGCGGCCGTCGGGAACTGACGGCTCCGATTTCTCCTACCGCATGGTCGTCGATTCTCGTAATTCCTTTTTTTCTCTTTGACGATCCATTTTAATCGAATCTCGGCTCCTTTTCCATTCCTTCCATAGCTGCTTCTTTGTGCCAAATGTTTGCGGGATCTTCAGTAGCTTGCCGACGGTTTATGCCATGAGTTCTGACAGATTTTTTTACTGAATTTCCAGGCTATACGAAGGTGGCAAAGGGGAAGTCTCGCCTCCATGCGCTGATCTTAACTCAGGTGCGCTAGTTCATCATTTTCACTTTCGCGCTATAGTCGAATTAGTCTCTCGCCTGGGAATTTTCCTGCTACGCTCTCGATTTTCGCTACTTGCTAGTGGAATTCCATGGTTTTCGGAGGCACTAGAGTGAAATTGGAATATCATCGTGGAGTGTAGTATTAGGGATTTAGGGTTAATGGCATGACTGACCTAGTTGCCAGGCGTTGATTAGATCGTTTTAAGCTTTCTGGTCAAGCAATGTCAAGTTAGGTGTCTTCCAGATTACATCAGCTGCTGTGTAGATCAGTTATCGCAACTTTGCTACCTCTTATTTGACTTGGGATGGATAATGCAGGTGGTGATTCAGTTGGTAGGGCTATTGTCTTTAGCTATGTCGATTTCGAAGGAGAAGATTCCAGATTCTTTGGCTATTTCTTCCACTGCCATTGGATTCTTCTCACTGCTGATCGGGGAAGTAGGTATGCTCTTCTCTTCCTTCCTGTTTGGATTTTGGAGGTCTGTTGAAGTTGATTTGCTTAACGTATAAATGCATTCTGGATGGATATTTCGAAGGTCTTAGGCGCAGCAAAGCTGGTCTGTTGAGAGTGTACGTGGCTGCTTCATCCATCGGACTGCTAATCTCGTTCTTTGATAAATTTACCAATGGTTCAGCACTAGAGGTAAGCTACTTCACTTTCATGGAAATTCCTTGTATTCTGATTTGAACTAAGGGGAATGGGGGATTAGAAGTAGTGAGTAGAACCCTGGTTCAAGTGAGTTACTGGTAAAGGGATCAAGCATTAGACAGTTCATTTAGGGACAGGAAACCTGGTATCTTACTGCAGTGTTTCAACAGGTGGGAGGCTAATTTGAGAAATGTTCCTTGTTTGCTTCATACTGCAGTATTATAGGATGATCACCATGAACAAACAATATAACTGAATCAGAGTGAAAGGATCCAAGTTATGTTCCATAATTTGTTGATCTTCTAGGTTGTTTAAATACATGAGCTGTGTGAGCGACTGCAGTGGTCCATAATCTCCTGGAGCTATATAGAAATAGAAGGGATATCATATCGTTAGATCAGAAACCATAGAGAAGATAATGTAAATTGTGGCCACATCTATTATGATTTGATTGGAGAATTTGGTTATAGTATCGATTGGAAGCCCCAATTTAATTGAAGGAAGCCACAGCTTAACATTGGATCTCATTGTATGCCTGCTGTTGGAACTGGTCTAATCTGGCGTCTTCGATGAACAGGTCATGTCGAACCCAAGCGAGTGGCAGGCGAAGAAATTCGAGGTCATAGAGGTTTCTCTTCTGTTAACTGGTGAGTTACATAGCGTGTCCTTAGCTTGACTTGATATTAGCCGCCATCAACATCAGAAGTCTCAATTCTTTTCTGTTTCGCCCCCGCAGGATTGCTGGTGCAGATACTCGCAGTTGTCACGACGATTTCTCTAATCGGTAATATGTCTCCACCCAAGAAATCTTCTTAATAGGTATTCCTGTAACCCTCCCAAATACAGTTCAGTTTACGCAACACACATTTAACTCAGCTCGAACGAAAATCCTCTTTGTGAAGGTGGTTGGATGATTCCCAGTGTATCTTAATGAAGTTAGTTGATATGTTTTCCACTTTTCCTTGCTTGAATGTACTCTGTAACCATTGTTGAGCGTTATGAGGGTTGCCAATTGCCATTGTAATGGTAAGGACGATATAAAGAACTGAAAAGCAGCTGCGAACTTTGACCCCTTTCTCTTTCTTTTAGCGGGAGGGGGGGGGGGGGGGGGTGGGGGGGGGGGGGGGGGGGGGGGGGGGGGGGGGGGGGGGGGGGGGGGGGGGGGGGGGGGGGGGGGGGGGGGGGGGGGGGGGTTAAGTGGGCCTGTAGCTCGCTCGTTAGTACAGCCTAGCTGGGCGGGCCGTATACACGTGACTACCTGGGCCCATTGTGTGGTTACCTAATAGGCTGAGTTGATAAGAATATAATTAGCAGGCTGAGATGGTTGGCGAGAAACAATAGTAGTCTAGTAGATGTCTAGATGACGATATAATTAGCCTTCGTAGAAGACAAGAACGTATGCTGGTACCAGATTAGTTTAGTTTCCAAATTAGACGTGTACCCATTTGATTAGTAGTATAATTTTTAGGATTACGACCTGGGATAGTACGCAACTATGTTGTTCTTTTTTTAACATGGTCAAGGGCTAATCTAAGCACTAAAGAGTAGGCCACTAAGGATCCAAAGCTTTTCCTTGTGTATCAGTCACAAGAGATTCTTCTTATGCATGTGAATGGGGATTTGGGTTTGGATTTCCACCTTCTGCAAGACATCACGGGGGTGGCTAGGGCTGAAAATTTGTCTGTCCCCTGTCTGACCAGTCCGTGAAGGGTCAATATGTATAACCGTCCCGTTCCTGTCTCCTTCTTGACCCTGTCTGACCCTCAAGGGTTGGGACAGGACGGCCCGGGTCAGTGGGTCGACCCTAATCAACACACTATTTTTTTACAAATTACATTTTGGTACCCAAAATTATTTTTTCTTACAATTTAGTACCTAAAATTTATTTTTTTTTACAAATAAGTTCATGAATTTTGATGGTAAAATTACGTTTTGGTACCCAATTTTTTTTATTTTTACAAATTAGTACATAAACTTTTAAAAATTTACAAAAAGGTCCAATGATGTATGAGATATTTGTTGTTGCTAAGGGTCACAGGGTCAAAACGTGACCCGTCCCGACCCTTACAGGGTCAACAAATGACCCGTCCCTAATCTGTCCCTGTAGACAAACTAACCCGTCCCGATCCTTAGGGACGGGACGGGTCGGGACGGGTCAGTGGGTTTTCCGGGACAAACTTTCACCCCAAGGGGTGGCAGACATAGCATGTGAGACAATTGTCACAATCTAGTAATCTTGTTCCCTCATAAATACACAATTCTACATGATCGAAGCAAGCATATCGTGACTTATGTGCATTACGCACGCAGATGTCTTTGATAGATCATTACCACAACTTCATTTGCGTTACATGGGTGAGACTAGATTACAGAAAACTCACAATTTAGCTTACTATACTTACCAGTTTACAGCATAGAAACTTAACTTGCCCTACTAGCTAAAAGCCAAGCCAACCGCCACACAGTTATATACCGCTCAATTGCTCAACGATCCAACCAGCTTTATCTATACAGACGACAATCTTACCATATTACCCCTCACAGTACGTAGCAGCTAAATCACCGGCGGCGACGGTCTAGTGATGGAGAGTAGCGTAGGCGTTGATGAGAGCCAAGGCGTTGCTGGTGAGATGAGCGATGGTCTCAATCTTCCCTCTCACAACCGTCTTCGTCTCTCCGGCCATCTCTTTCCCCGCGAACCCGTCGTTGCACGTGCTCTCGTCGGTCAAGGCGGCGCTGACCCACGTCTGGACGTCGCTGATCATCATTTGGAAGTCGGCGGGGGACCTGCCGGCGCCCCTGGCGCCGGCCATCTCGTCGATGGACTGGCGGATCTGGTCGACGGAGTCGCCGAGCTCCTCGACGCAGTCGAGCATGGCCGCGGACTGGCGTGGGCTGAGGCCGTGGGACTGTTGGAGCTTGATCATGGCGTCGGAGGTGGTCTTGGCGGAGGATAAGGCGACGTCGAGGGCGGTGGAGGCGAGGAGCCTGGCGCTGGTCTGGATTTTGGTGGCGTGGGCGGAGAGGGAGTTGTAGCAGAGCTGAGGGTACGTGGTGGCGCTGCACGACGTACGGATGAACTCCGTGTTGGTCGTTGCGCCGGAGAGAGATCTCCTGGAGGCCGACGACGGGGAGGCCAATAGTGAAATGGCTACTACGGCGGCGAGGAAAGCGGCGGCGGAGGAGGAGGACGAAGCGGCCATTGTATTGGCTGGTTTTTTGGGTGTATGAAAGAGCTGTGTTGGAATTATGGTTGTGAAGATGGTGTGAAGGTGGGGGGAATGGAAGGCTTCTAATTTATAGGGCCGGAGGGCGAAGGTTCGTTCTATTGCGGTCAATTTTAGCGTATCATTTATACAATACTGAATTACTGATAGAACATTTATAGTATAGAAAATAAAAATGTAACTTTCAAAAGCAGGAAAAATAGGAATGACAGCGGGTCGAGTTTGAAGTGGGTTGTTAAAAACTTATTTTCGTTTTTATTAGGTTGCATTATTATCTTTATTTACATGTCCTAAATCCATTCAATTTTTTTTTATGATTAATGTACGTACCATAGTCGATCAATGTGGGAATCTTCCACATTGAATAAGTTGGGAGGATGAGATATCCACAATTGCCATGGATTAATTGTCATTCTATCAGAAGCTAGTTGGAGGAAGTGTTGGTTTTTTGAACACATAAGGAGAGAACTAGTCCGAGATATGAACAGTGTGTAGAAGCATTAGAAGTAAGCTTGACGATCGAGTTGAGCCATGGAAAGTGGCAATTCGTGCCTCACGAGAAAGTAACGTGGCTGCACATATTATGACACATGTAAAGTGTCGATGGAATGAGACTATGATTTAGTTTGATAGGCCATCAGTTTTTCTTGTGGATCAGAGCTTACAAAACAATGTAACCTCAGCTCTTGTTTCATCAGGTTTCCCGTAAAAAAATAACCCCCATCATTTTCTTTTATTCTTCAGACAGATTTGTAGTCGGTTAATGTGGGAATTCTTTTTGTTGAGGAGTAGTGCATAACTGGATATTCACCATTGTGATGGAATTGCCATCCCAGTAGAAGCTAGTTAGAGGAATAGTTGATTTTTTTAACCCATGTTGAGTTATACATTTATAATGTTTTGAGTAAAATTTCAACCTAGGGAAAAATTCGATTTAACTAAGATTTAGATTTAATAATAAGAAGAAAAAAAAAATCAGAGAACTATTATAAAAAAATCTAATGTTTTTGGTTGAATTAGTTAGAAAAACCAATCATACCTTCCTTTGGGTCCAATTTGGAAAAAGGGTACGGATGGGTCTTCCTTGGCTTAATGGAGATAGTGATTGGGCTTGAGACTTCATGTTCTTAGCGGGTACAAAGTGATGGGTGGTGGTATATGGTCAATTGGACATTATATACTCTACTTATAATGTAATTGTTTCCTCGGGAAAACCAAAAGCCACCGCCGGTGCCGCCGGCGATGTTGATTTGATGTTTTGCGATGGAAATTTTTGCGGTGCCGTTTGATCGAATGCACCGCTGATTGCTGAAATCGAGACGACCGTCAAATATCCGCCGTCGAATGTCGGCGCCGTTGATTTGATCGATGCACCTCTGACTTCTAACCAAGAACGACCGTTACTACGGTTCGCACCTCTCCAAACTACGTTCGAACGAGGGTGTTTGAGTTTTGAGGAATCTACGCTACCGCTACTCCTATGGAGATTCCTCTGGAGAGCTCCGCAACTACGACTATGATCTACAATTACTACGACTCTGCAAAGGAGGTCTTTGACAGAGCAGTTCTACGAACTAGAGAGAAAAAGATAGATTCTGCGATGGTGCAGTTGTGATTTGATTTTGCCGTCCCGAGCTTCTCTCTCTTCCCAATCTTTATACTTCGCGCTTCTCCCCGTCGTAGTAACTGCCTTCGCGCCTTTGTCTCCCACGTCTTCATTCCTGTCAACCGTGCAGGTAACTTCCTCCTTGTTGCGTAACTCCCACGAGTGCGAAACCCCTTGGACACGCGGAAACTTGGCCAAAACGACACTGAGCCAAAATCCACAATTGCTGAACTCTCGCCACTGCGATGTTGTTTTCTATTAAACAACATTGTTTCAGTACCGCGACGGTGTTGATATCTCCCACGACGTCGTTTTCGACTAAACGACACCGTCTAAAATAATCCTTAAAATATTAATTAATTAAACCGGCAATCATTGTTGACAAGCCGTCAAACTCTCACTTCGTGGCGCCGTTCTTAATTAAACAACATCGTTTTCTAGTTCTGCGATGCTGTTGAACTTCGCGATGCCGTTTTCACACTGTCGTTTTAACTATTGCGGCATCGTTTGGCCTACTCGCGGTGTCGTTTCTTTCCTCTTGCGGCATTGCTTTCAACTAAACGACACCGTCTTAAATAGTCATTAAAAATATTAATGAATTAATCCGGCCATCTCTGGTCAAACTCGTGTGTTGACCAACGACATCATTAGCGCCAAAAAGGCTTCGTTTGCTTTTCCTTTCGCGACATTGTTTTTATTTTAAACACTGTCGTTCGCTAGTACAGCGGCACTGTTGGGCCTACCCGCGGTACCGTTTTACTCCTCCGCGATGCCGCTTGTCTCCATGCGGTACCGCTTCTCCCCTTCCGACAAGGAATAATAATAATAATAATTAAAACTCCTTTTCCAACACCAATACCAAAACGCGCGGCCCCATCTTATTTTCCGGCGGTGTCGCGGTACCGCTGAGCTTCCTTGCGGTACCGCTTTTCTGTTTCGCGGTATCGTTTTAACTCTTTCCGACACCGCTCGACTCTAAACGACACCGTTTTTTACTCGCGGTATCGAATTAAATGCCGAGACTAATTAATGCGGTATTTAATTCCGGCCGAATTAATTTAAGGTGTCAACAGTAATCCTCGTCGTATTAGATCGAATATACAAGAACTTTAATTTTCTTTTCGATCTAGCTCCCCGTCTTATTATATATTCTTCATTTCCAATATAATTTTCTCATAAGTCATAACATAATTTATTCTCTTTCAGTTCTATTCCGAACCCTCGCAATTATCTTTTTCATTATCCTTTCAATTCCATTCAAAGTATCCTTATTTAACATAATGCTCTAAGTTTTTAGACGAAATCAACCGACATTCCACATAATTATCAATATGACGTACCTCATACATGTAAAACTTGCAGAGACGAGAACAGATAGGGAAGAAGGCATGTACACATTTATGTTACATGATAATTATGCCACAATGTTGATGATTTACCATCCATGTTTTTGTGGCAGTTGTTTGGGAATATGGTGTCGGCTGGACAAACCAATCCATGTACCGTTCGGATTAGCCCTACCAAGAGTTAATTATTATAGGAATAAAAGAAACATGCATGGTGAATAGGATAATCAATTGGACCGACCCCATCACCGCATATGCCCATTATCCCTTTTCCATTAATCAACTTGGACATGTAATTAACAAGTCTTGTCGCCACTAAAATATCTTTTCTCAACTGTACGTAATTGACAATGTAATTAACTAGTACAAACTTATCAACTTTTCTTAATCACTTAATGAGGTAATTAGTGAAAAAAACATCGAATGGAGACCATGCTCTATCTGTAATACTGGTTTTTGAAGTGCATATCAATCCAATGAATTGAACTTCATCCTTTCACCTCCCCACACATATGATTTGTTCTAATTCTTGGTCAAAATGAATTGACATTTTCACAAATCGATAGACAGATCAGGTTTGGATAATAAAAGCAAAGACATAACACCGGTGTTCAAACTTATTGTTTCATATTACCTTTTGTGAATTTCCAATTGTCACTTTGATTCGACGTCTTTAACAAGTAGTACTCATGTGACGGATTCATGAAATTTTTTCAACTCTTGATAATCAAGCTAGATAAATGAGCTTCCCATATATCTTGGTGCTCAATCATCAATGAAATAGACAAGAAGTACCCATTGTAAGGTATTAAAGTGTTTGCTTTTCTAGCTAGGCCCATACCATATAGATATTTTTTAAGTTATGAATTTATATGGTTTAGTACTTTAGTTAGTTGAGTGTTTAATTATATTTATTTCCATAAAGGAGGCTACAAATGAAATATACATGATATATATGGGTTATGATATTTAGCTATGGATTATAATATCTCGGTACCATGCATGAATGTTGAAAGCTGCGAAGCAAGTTGGAATCGAGCTTTGGGAACAAAGTTTTGGTCCAATAGTATTTGTAACTGATTTTAACCTTTAAATCTCAAATTCGAATATTTTAAATAACACACTATAAAACTAAACATATATCACCCTTATAAAACAAACATAGTTTAAATTAAACAGATTAACAACTCAGCTCATGCATGGTATTTATGGTTGGCTTTGTGAACTTACTGTGACTTCCCAATCGCAAATAACTTTCCCCCCCCCCCCCCCCCCCCCCCCCCTTTTTGGAGAAATAAGAGCAAATATCTAAGCAGGCATGGTACATTATATTAGTCTCGTCAATTGTCATTTTAAATTCATGGTTTCAACGAATAGTTATGTGACGGATTCATATAATCTTTTTAACTCTGGATAATTTAGCTAGATACATGAGTTTCACATAGAACTTAATTATGATGGTTTTGTGAGTCTCATCATTTGTAGTCTCTAGACATTTAATTAGGTGCTCAATCATCCATGGAATAGACAAGAGCTACTGTAGGGTATTAAAGTGTTTGCTTTTCTAGCAATAGGCCCATACCATGTAGATATTTTCAAGGTATGAATCAATGAGATGGTTTAATTAGTTGAGTGTTTAATTATATAGTTTCAGCTATTGGTGACAGAGCATTTGTTGCTAGTAATTGTTATTGTTTACCTTGGTACCTTGGATTATATAGCTCATTGTTATTGTTTACAGTTGGGGGAAATATGCAATTATTGTTTAGTTGGCAGAGCATTTGTTGCTAGTAATTGGTTTTTTGTGATATAATATATACTAATCCATTCATAAGAAAAACTATAAGCAAAATAGGATAATCAATTATATTGGACCCTTCTCAAAGAAAAAGAAAACGAATTGGACCCATCACCCATACTTTTCAATAATTAATCAACTTGAATTGTCGCCACTAAAATATCTTTCCTCAACTGAATTATTTGTACTTGTGAAAATCGGTATCTCAGTACCGAATTTTAAAATTATGAATAGCATATAGTGTGCTAAATTAATCTCAATTTGAAAATAAATTTTGGTATCAAAATTCGAATCTCTAATTATTTATTCTGCATCAGAGATACCAAATTAATTCCCTTCAAAATCACAAATCAAATATCTAAATGCAAATAATACTCCTCTGCTCCGCTCCACAAACCATTATCAAAATATATAAAAACAAAAAACGATGGAAACACTTGTGCAAAAGAAATGAGAAAAAATCTTAAGTATAATAATAACAAATTAGAAAAATGTGGTGCTTAAGAAGCAATACATTAACAAACTAAAGCAACAAACTTGAACATGAGATAAATAAGCGGCCCATAGACATACCACATGTATCAACATGAGCTTGATATGAATTATCAAATATAGATGGAATGAGCTATGTGTAATTAAGTGATCATTTTAGAAGTTCAGGGGTTGGCAGAGGTGAGTGAGAGAGCCTAGTTGGGAGTAATAAAACAAACACTAATTTATCTTTCGGTATTTCGGTATATACGTTGTCTGTCCCGTAATCTCTAATGTCGAATAACACTTAAAATTCCATCCGAGTCACATGAATAATATGTGTATTCAATATGATCAAATATCAAAAAAATTGGTACAGTATTTGGTATATCCCAAATATTGGTACCAAACTTCCAGCCAATTGTCTCATTCAATGTAATTGGTAAAAAATTAGAAAAGTTTCCTAGTGAAAAAAAAAATTCATAGACAATTTGATTTATTAGAAGAAGATTAATTATGGATTTTGTACTATTCTCTGACACGTTCCCTTAAATGATAGCCAACTTATGAGATTGAAACTTGCATATGCTTCGCATACCTTGCATTTAAATCAATTTTTATTTGTAGATATTTAGAGTCGTAGAGATTCGAATACACAATCACTTAGCCAAATCATAAGACTATATGTCATGAATTGTTTTACTTCGTAACTTAAGAAAGTTAATTATAGATTTTATATGAGATGGTTTTATGTCGAGTGTTTAATTCCCATAAAACATTGACTACAAAATCAACTTTCATATGGGTTATGATAAGTATATTTTCTTTAGCGAAGATGATTCATGTAATAATGCATTGCATGAAAAAACGTGAAGCAAGCTGGTGGTCGACATCTCTGTTAGGGTGTCCATTCGGGTTCAGTTTTTCGGGTTTACCCGAAACTGACCCGATTAGATACATTTTCGGTTTTTTGGGTTCGGGTTTGTTTTGGGTTTCGGGTTTTTCAGTTTTGGGTTCAGTTTTGCTTATCGGGTTTTCGGGTTCCATCTGAAAACCTCCAAGGAATAAAACTCAGCCCGTATTCGTAGTCATTCGGATTTCGGGTTTCGGTTTTGCTTTAACCGAACGCGAACCCGAAAGTCCTTATCGAGTTCGGGTTCGGTTTCCAGTTATTCCGGTTTTCGGGTTTTTTCCGGATTTCAATTTGGGTAACCGAACCCGACCCGAACTGACACCCCTAATCTCTGTTAACCAACACATTTTTTTAAGGGCAATGTCTATTTTTTACCCAAAATTTTTCAGAATTCTTTTATTTTACCCAAATCTATCAAAATTCTATTTATTATCCAAACTTATTGTAACTGATCAAAGTCTGGGCATTCGTTCTGTTACCGTTACTTATTTCGTAACGGAACTCCACGTATGCATCCATGTCAGCATTCATTCTGAAATGAAAAAAAATCTTTTATATCACTAAAGAAATAATTAGAAATTTAAAAACTCCATAGCTCTGCAACTCCATCGCTTCTTCTTCCTCTATTCTCCACCTCCGCCTCCACACCACAAAACCTATTTCCATTAAACCAACCCCAATGCCCAACCCCACACGTCGTCGCCATCGTCGCCCAAGCCCGCCGTCAAAACTAAGAAGGAAATCGACGCCATCGCCCGGCATCGAAACTGGAAATCCAGATCTATGAATCGGAAGAACAAAAAATCAAAAGATGGGTTTTGGGGAATCGAGTTTGATGATGACGCTGACGTTGGTGCTGGTGCAGGAGGATTGGAGGAAGATGAAGAGGAGCAAGCAGCTTCTCTGATTGGACTTCCGATTCCGACAACGACGACGAGGGGTTTCCCCATATGCCCCAGCAACGACGACGGCGGCCAAATCGATCGAGATCGAGTCGTGCTCGGCGGAGATGTTTCACCGGATTTGGAGAGGCGCCGTTGAGGAGGAGGCCGACACGCTCCGTCGTCGACGGTGGCGGCTGTAGTTGTGTAGGTTGAAATTAGGGTTTATGCTAATTTTCTCTTTCTCCCCTGCTTCCCTCTGTAGTACAAGAACATGGGTTTGTTTCTAGTTTTGTAATTTTTTGAAGATTGAGGAAGCAGCAGCTGCGGCAGGGGAGAGGTGGCGGAGGGGAGGGGAAGGCATTTTTAAATGTTTTTGTTTTTTGTAATTTTTTGATTAATTTTTTATTAAAAATAATAAATTATAGTATTCTGACGGCCACGTTGGAAGCCAACTCATCATGGTCATGCTTAGTCAGCATTAATAACAGAAAAGTTGACGGAGAGTTAACGTTTGGATAATTATTAGGAATTCAATAGGTTTGGATAAAATAAAAGAATTTTGAAAAGGTTTGGGTAAAAAATAGACATTGCCCTTTTTTTAATTCCAATAACTCGAATTATTGGATTTTTTATATATAAGTGTTTATATCATTTCTTTTTTCGGTACTATATTATTTATACTAAGTCTGATCAATAATCTAAATGGTTAGAGAAGATTTTGTATGAAATTTTATATATCCATCCTTGTTCTTTTTCCCAAAAAAACAAATCCATAATTCCTTTGAGACCGTTGATGGCGCGGCCAGATTGTACATGCATGACTTCAACACCCATAAAGTCGATCTTAACGGTATTGAATTAATTACCATTGTAACTTTTTTTCTTAAAGTACACGTTACGTACATACCCACAAAACTCACACACTTTTTCACTTACTAACAGATCATCACTAGCTAGCTACAACATCTAGTAAACTCGCAAACAACTAATTAACAGAAAGTGTAAATATACATAATAAATTAATAAGTCTAGTGATGGAGAGTAGCATAGGCGTTGACGAGAGCCAAGGCGTTGCTGGTGAGCTGACCAATCGTCTCAATCTTCCCTCTCACCACCGTCTTCATCTCCCCGTCGGCCGCCGTGCCCTTCCCGGCAAACCCGTCGTTGCACGTGGTCTCGTCGGTCAGCGCCGCGCTGACCCACGTCTGGACGTCGCTGATCATCATCTCGAAATCCGCGCCGCCCTTGGAGGCATGCATCTCGTCGATGGACTGTCGGATCTGGTCGACGGAGTCCCCGAGCTCCTCCACGCAGTCGCGCATCGCCGCGGAGTCGCGGGGGCTGATGCCGCCGTGGGACTGCTGGAGGTTGAACATGGCGGCGGTGGTGGACTTCGCTGACGCTAGGGTGACGTCGAGGGCGGTGGAGGCGAGGAGCTTGGCGCTGGTCTGGATTTTGGTGGCGTGGGCGGAGAGGGAGTTGTAGCACAGCTTAGGGAACGTGGTGGCGCTGCACGACGTACGGATGAACTCACTACAAAATAAAAGGCTTACAGCAGGGGGCTTTTTGGCTTTTAGCAGCAGCAAAAACCGCCGGTACATAGCCCGCCAGGGGTTGCCCAAACCGCAGCATAGCCGCCGCTAGACTGACCGCCGCTAGTTTATGCCAGGGGTCCGCCCAACCCCTGGTGGATGTTTTTGCAACGGTTTCTGTGGCGGTTCTTATCGACGGGATTGGCCTTTTGGGTTCCGTTGAAACATATATATTTTGCAGCGGTGGCATGTATTTTAGCGGCGTATTCATAACCCCTGCTACTGGCAAATTTGATCGGACAATTCACATCGCTTCCAAACCCCTGGGCCCTGGCTAGCTAGATTTAAAGAAGATTTGAGCGACAGTTCCAAACCCCTGCTTTTCTGCTGTAGCATTTCAATTCTCAATTATCATATATTTCTATACTTTTAAAAGTCTACATCACCCATTACACATGCTCCAACTTGGTAACTTCAGTACTTCACTCACAATACAAATTATTCATACAACAAATTATTTAAAAAAAAAGGAATCGAACAAATAGAAACTCAAATCTAAAGATAATGTCAACATCGAACGTTACTTTTTTTTAATCACCCACATATCATGTTATCCATTGGTTTCTTCTGAAATCCATCTTAACCTGTTACAACGCCAACCAAACACATAGAATTCACCATTAATAATATGAAGAAGAGAAATGAAGACAGAGCAAGAAAAAAATTCAATGAAACAAAAAACCATTCCTGAAACACAGAACAAGAAGTGAAACACAAAGACTAAGATACAAAAACTAAACTGATCCTAAACATATGCATGAAAAGAGACAAACTACTATGACCCTTTCTTATAAAAAAGAAAAATAAATAACATGAAATAAAACAAACGAATTACTGGAGACTATAGACACAAAGAAATACTAGGTAGTCTTTTAACAAGTTACTTTCAACCACACCTACACCAATTATACTTCCCTTCTTACTCGTATACAACCAACTACCACATTTGCAGAAACCCAATACCAACCAAACTAAATACACAATATGGCTTGGCTGGCTGGACTCGTGAAAATTGAGAGCAATCAATATGAGCCTAGAAGCAGGAGTTGACTAACTGGTGATAGTTAATATGCAGCAACACTATAGCAACTCTACCGACAAGCTTAAGCTAATATTTCATGGTAGAGGTGCCCTCAAGCACAACATTAGTTAGTATTCATATACAATAATGAAGGTACAGTAAATTCAACCAAGAAACTTCAGTAGATATAAAAATATACTTACATGTAATAAATCCCTCAAACATCCTCTATACCACAGCAGATCTAATCAAAATCCTCTTATCTGAACTCAAATTAATTAACTCATAGCAAGGTAGTTGTGTATGTTATGAGTAACTTTTGGTCAGCCCTGTGCAATACTTTGGCTTGATGAAATTATAACAACAATAGCACTATGAATGAAACACATAAGCACCTTATTCTATTATATTCATTTCTCTTTTAGACTAAAATGAAGCATGCAAGACTGAGATAAAGAATAATATACTAGATTATTACCTTGACTTCATGCAGTTCAATAATGCTTCCACATTTTATAGTTCACACCTGCATAACTTCTAAGACCACAAAAAAGGACGAATCATAAGAGGAAGCTAGAAATTTTAAAAAAATACAGAGCCAATAGGAACGGGAAATCATAGGGCACATACAACCTGGAATCATACAAAACTTTCTACAATAGAGTCAGTAAAAGTGGCTAAAACTGTATCCGCAAGAGAAGATATAACAAACGTGTCTCCAATGTCTTCAATTTTAGGAGTGAACATCTTGCAGTTTCTGAGTCTGCTACATTCTATAGTCCCTCACTTCTTTCCGTATCTTACGAAACATCTCTCACTTAGATTCTTAGGCATAAGTAGACATGAGAATTTAAGTGTAGGAGGCAGCACAACTTAATAAAAGATCTCAATGAAAGCAAACTTATCAACTGCAACAACCAATTCGAAAAAACAAAATACTCAAATAAGGAAAGTACAGAGTGGTTACTTATCAGGGCTTATGTGATCTTGTGCCAAATTAGAAAAAAGCATTCACCTTTGGCCATTCTTAACATGTAGAAAGAAATATGATTAGTTAAGCAACATTGTCCTGTTCAAAAAGAAAGGTCGAGCAATGTTGTGGTCAGGCTCAGATTAGTTTCAAACCTTTGCACCAACCAAATGATTAATAACAGCTATACATCAATTCAAAAACAAGAACTCCTGGAATCATAAACAAGGGATTAATTCACTCATAAATCAGTCAAATACCCTAACTATGGAGATAGAATTATATGATATCGAATGGAAAGAAGAACAGCAGAGGCTTCCATGCAGAAAAGAGATTGAACCTATCTATTTTCAGCAAGAGAAGAGGAATATGGTAGACTCACACAAGGTAACGAAATCTCATATGTCCAGCTGCTATTGATCTTGGGATGTACTGCCAGTAATTCAAGAAGTAATCGATTGAAGAGAACGAGAAGAATGGAAGAAAAATCTCATTGCTGATCCACTTCACTCCAATTAAAACTCTGCATTTCAATTGATCTAAGCATGCACAAATCAAATCTCGGAATGAAGAACTGGATAAGGGTCAAGATTAAGTTTAGAGAGAGTATACAACCTCAGTTATAGTAAAGGCCATCGTACGACAAGAGGCTGACGATCTCTATCAACTGCTTAATCTGTAGAGTTTTGTGTCATTAAGTTCCAATGAAGTAGTATAAGGAATCACAGAGAGTATACAACCTCAGTTATAGTCATGGCCATGGTATGATAGGAGACTGAGAAATGATATATCTTTCCTTGAAGGGGAAGTCGCATATGTCTTTAATTAGTACTTGCTACAATCTCTATCAACTGTTTCATGAGCCTAACTTTATTTGTGCTAATTCCTGAAACCAACAAATACAGGAAATCGATTATCACAACCATCAAAATAATGCAAGTGACAATCAACTAATTTCATTGGGCAAAAGAAACCAAAAGAGATAAGAAACCTGCTAATGTTGTTCTACAGGATTACTACTTTGGTTGACTCACACGGTGCAACACAGGTGCCAACCTCTAAATCTTATTTAAGATAGGAACAACACATAGCATCACTTGAAGAAAATTTAAAGAAAAACCTGAAATTAGTAGTGTTTCTTGTAATTCACGCGGCAATGATTCGCAAGGAACATGTCCAAAACTGTAAAGAAAACAACTGCATTCAAATAGAAAACAACTGCACCATGATCATGGCAAGGAAATGAGAAATTGAATCCTTGATTCGAGTTATAGGAACAATGAGAATACCATTCACTTACTTACTTAAACAATGAGGATCACATTCACTTTGCTAGCTGGTGATACTCAAAACATGATTAATTTAGATGTTAATCAAAGAATTGAAACGATAGTTTAGTGATAAACCTAAGAACTTCTTGAATCAGAGCTCCGGTCATAACTCAGTCAAATGCCCTAGTTTTGGAGATAGGGTTCGATTCTATTGGGTGGAAAGAAGAGCAGCAGAGACTTCCATACACACAAGCGGATCTTCTTGAATCAGAGCTCCGATCATAAATCAGTCAAATGCCCTAGCTATGGAGATAGGGTTCGATTCTATTGGAGTGAAGAAAATTAACGAAGAGAAAGAGGGATGAACTCACACAAGATGACGAAATCCCAAATGGCTAGCTGCTGTTGATATCAGGACGTATTGCCGGAGATTTGAGAGGAACGAAAGTCAAATCTCGCCGCTGATCCACTTCACTCTAATTCGAACACTGCGCTTCGAGCAATCCACATGCACAAATCAGATTTTGGAAATCAGAACTAAATAAGGCGCGAGATCAAGTTTAGAGAGTACCAGGCGAAATCGATAGAATGCAATAGCGATCGACGACCGGCCAGAGAGAGGAGAATCAGAGAATACGGCCGATGGCGAGAAGAGAAAAACAGCTTCACATTGATTGACGCCGGAGTTTAATGTCGACAGATCGATGCATATGGCGAATGGCGAGCGGAGAGCTCTTTCTCTATAGGAAGTAAGAACGCGTTAATTGTCCGCTAAGAGGAAAAAGGTTTTTTCGTAAAAATTGCTTTATTTCAGAGGGCAAAAAATATAATGGAAGGTCTTTGGATTTGAAAACAAAGTACATGTTATTTTGTTGGGCCTCGCAGCGGGTATTGGAACCGCTGGATCATTTGCTGCCAAATGTTAATAACATAAAGCCCGGCAGCAGTTACTCTAACCGCTGAAAGAGAACCCCTGGGCTAGGCCCATTCCCTTGTAGTGACTCCGTGTTGGTCGTTGCGCCGGCGGCGGCGGCGGAGAGGGATCTGCTGGAAGCGGATGACGTGGAGGCGAGTAGCGAGATGGCTAGGACGGCGGCGAGGAGAGCGGCCGAGAGGGCGGTGGAGGAGGAGGAAGCTGCCATTGGATTAGGCTGGGTTTAGGGCAGTGGGGCTAAATATATTTTTTTGGGTGTAAGAATGAAGATGGGGAATGCAAGGCTCCCAATTTATAGGGCCGAAAGGGTGAAGGTTCTATATTTCGGTCAATTATTAGAGTAGTAATAGTATACAATATGGATAGGGCGTGGACAATATATAAACTAAAATTATCAGAGAAAAATCTTTGTTTTTCTTCGCCATATCTGAAAACAGAATCAGCGAAGAAGGAGACAGGGCTCCAATGTTCAAACCTGTCGACCGTTGGAAGGGAGACGACACCGTATCCATCATATCCAATCCACGCATCAAACAAGACGACGACGCATCGCACCTGGAGCTGGAGCGAAGTGGTTTCTGGCAAATTACCAATCGAGCACAACTTCTTAATTTGTACCTTTTCCCCTTTTCGGATTGTACTTTCTTCTGTCCCAAGCTTGTCTTCTTTCCTTGAACCGTAAACCAAAAACTCAACAGCAATGATGAAGTGAAAATCAACACAAGCCAAGATTCCTAAAGCAAAACAAGTGTTAAAAATTGTAACTTAGAATGATCTGCGTTAGAATGTAAGCTTTTAATCTTTAAAGTTGAA